TATTTAATATGACGTATTAAATTATATATAAATTTTATATGACGTAAAGGGTGACGTATAAAAATAACTACCTTTGATCCTCTAAATGTCTGCATCTTTAATCAAGACACGAATATTGAAATTAATTATATCTTTTTAATATTTATTGATGTTGAACTTACATCAACGTTAAAAATTGATAAAATTAGTTATAATGAAAGATACGTATAAGAAGATGATTATGCTAATTATCTGGAATTATTTTATTGTTTTTTTTTGTGCACACTTAAAAAAAATTTTTAATGTGCGCTACACCAAGATCTATACGTAATGTGTGGTCCGCCTACGTTCTTGATGCTGAATTTTAGACACTGGTTACATACTAAATAGTAAGTATTTGCGTGATTATATAAAGTTAGTAATTATATAGGAGAGGATGAATACTGTAACAACTACGTATACGTATTAGATAACATACCTGATACTATATCTCGATATACGTATATTATATGTATTAATATAGATACGTATCTATTTTAAATTTAATGTAGTTTAAAATTATTATACTTATTATACTTTTGTTTAAAAAAGACCATTAAGAAATAAGAGAGTTAATAATTAATATTAATTAGAATTCTGTGCTTTGAATTAATTATAGTATTTCAAATTATCCCAACTCTAATATAAACAAAATTTTGCGTGTGAAAAAAAAACCAAGAAAATAGAAAACGGAATATTTTTTTAAAAATAAAATCACCCATTTTGTATGAGAATTTCTTTTTATAAAAATTGTGTTACTCACACAAACAAGTAGGTTAACTACTAAAAAAAGAAACCCGAAGAAATTAAGGATTGATTGTGCGCAAGTTAGTACGTACCATGCATGGAGTTTTAATTAGTTCCCGTATTTATCGATTTCTACAGATTTTTCTCTTCGTACAATCAAAAATTTAATACGTATATACAAAGGTACTGTAAAAAGTTATCTATCGCTATTATTATTACGTATGTTATTATTATAATTATTACTATAATTATTATTATTATAATTATTACTATAATTATTATCGTTATTATTATTACGTATATTATTATCGTTATTATTATTACGTATATTATTATTATTATTATTATTACGTATATTATTATTATGATTATTACTAAAATTATAATTATTATTATCATTATTATTATTATTTACTACGTGTTCGACATGTTTGAAAAGATTAATTTTTATCAAAAATAAATAAATAAATTTAAAATGCAAGTTTAAAAATAATACAAGTTTAAAATTGCAAGTTAAATGATAAAAATCTGTACAAGAAAATTTTTTATTTTATTGCAGATTATTGAGAGTTGAGGATATATATTTTTTTTTAATGTCTATAAAATATAGACAACAACAACAACAACATGAAACAACAACATAAAACATCGTAAAACATTTATTAACAAGAAAATAAAATTAAAAGATTAGGATAATTCAAAACAAAAAAAAAAAAATGCTAAAAGTTAACCTAACAAAAATCAAAACCATTTTTTTTAGCATTGAAATTGTCTGTACATGCAATTAAAAAAAAAAACTACTACAAATTAAATTTCTTTCAAGATAGGGTTATAAAAAATTTTCATGATCATATAATCGGTGAGCACCAGCTTCAGCAGAAACCACAACAATCATAGGATCAACACCAGGTAATGGAAACCTTTGTAATAATAGATTAGCTTCATTAGCAGCACTTTCACGTATAAGATTTATGGCATAATTATGATTTTGACGTGGATTTAGACCAGAAAGATGATAATTTTCTTCATGTAATTTCACGGCCTATTTGTAATAAAATAGAAAAGATTTTGATTTATTGATGTTAAAGAGAATGTTAGAAAGAATGTTTGAGAGAAAAATTTTATATTTAACAGTATTAAGAGTGGATAATAACATACCTTATATGCAGCGGCACCGGCAAGGGCAGCAGGTGAAATAGGAAATCGTGGATCTGGGCCGTATACATAGATCTGGTTATAGTATTGTTCCATTTGAGCTAAAAAATTTTTTTTTTTTTTTTGAAAGTAATTAGTATCGATATGTATGATATAATTGATTTTTTTTAGTACGAAAAAAAAAAGAGATCTATAAATTATGAGAAATAAATACCAGGATTCGAACCAAAAGCATCAGGTACGAATGCGTTAAAACCTCTCAAGTTTTGACCATAAGCAGTTTCGTTATGTTCAAAAATCATTTTTTTATGAATGTGTATATATAGTATTTCAAGTTTAATATGTTTCTTGATTTTTTTAATGGATATTTTTATGATCAAATCGTATTGAGGGAAGAACGGCGATAACGCTTGGCTTTTATATTAAAAAACACGAGACATGTATACGTATATCTATTTATATATATTTATATATTTTATACAATATATTATATATATTATATATATTGAACCATCATTATTATTTTATTGCAATAAAAATATAAACAGTTTAATTTATCATCGGAGCATTTAATACAAATAAACAAAAAACCCCACTTTAAAAAAGAGTAACTTTCGTGGGAAAGAAAGTATATTTATAATTAACCAATGAAAGTAATGGGGACGAGTCTGGGTACCAAAGTATAAGTTAATTCTAGTCTTAACTAATATGACGAATTTCCCTGTAAATCAAATCTTTATCAGAAAAAAGCAATATGGACATTAAAGGTCCGAAGCCCGTTTTGTAGACAAGGGGAGAAGGATCATCGTGAAACGTCAGAACAATTCATTGAATTGTTTAAATAATCAGAACAACTGGTTTAAATTGGCACACCCGAGTTTTATTGTTTACCCAGGTAAATTCCGAAAGACAACCGAAAGGTAATACAAGGAATGAGTCATTTTCAAAACATTTAAAGTGGTAATTACAAGTAATTACAAGTAAATACTAAGACCAAATAATAATTTTTAATTGTAAAGTGTACATACGTATGTAAGTACGTACGTATGTACATAAAATTAATAATTTTTTTATAGAAAAAACAAGTTTTATATATTTTATATTACGTGTTACACATTGAGCGGAGGCTTTGATATGAAAGGACACATTTAACCGAAATTGTTGGCCAATAGGACCAATAATAGCCATAAAGAGGGTGACATTTGAAAATCTCCTGATTAATTACGTATTATTTATGACAACCTTTGAACCTTTGAGAACCTTTAGGACATCATAACCATCAAAACTCAGCCAATGTATCAAATCATTCAAGTCCGGAAATAAGGTTTAAAATCAATGTAAGACTATAGGTATCAAAGATGGTGAGATGGACACTGATGTGGCTGTAAAAGTACGAATCATTCTTCATCAAATTTTCTCAGGCCATTTTATTTTTGTATATGGGACCTTTCGTTTATGGTAATTGTTTTATAATATGATTGGCAAGTCTGAAATCATACAAAATCACAATTATAGTAAATTATATATTATCGTTATAAAAAAAAATTACAACTGATGTTTTGATGCTTTGTCTATGACGACGTTTGACCCCATTTGAGTTGCTACGTACGTACACAATATTGTTCTTTGCCTTTACCCAATTATGAATATTTTAAATACACATGCTTATTGTTTTTTAATATTATCTTAAAAGATGTCGTATATTCCAGAACTTACCAATAATACTTTTAGTAATAACGATAATACTCTTAGTAATAACGATAATACATTTAGTAATAACGGTAAATACTTTTAGTTAGTAATAACACAATCCTTTACTTTCCATCGGGAATATCCAAGCATTATGTTAACTGTTAATGTTTAGTGCTAACGTTAAAATTAACGTTAACATTAATGTTAACGTTAAAATAAACGTTAATAATGTTAACATTGTACGTACGTAATACGTATTAAAGTTAATAATGTGTATTATGTATTAACTAGAGATTGGAAAATCTCTACCCGGGTATTATTAAATTACCGGGTTATCCGGGTAAATTATTATGTATTTCAGGTAATCTTATACGTAGCAACTATTTCTACTTGGGTCCAATCCCTAGTATTAAAATTAACGTTGATACTATACTATTAACGTTAATTTTAACGTTTACGTTAAAACGTGTTTTTTCTTTGATACCATATTAGGAAACTAATATATGGTTATTTAATTTACATTTTTAACATACGATTTTTTTTTTCGTGATCTTCTAACAATCTATTGTGTTATTGAGCACAGGATGACGTGACTAAATAAGGTATTACTTTTTGACAAGTTTTTTTCATGAGAATTTTTTTTTTTTTGATCAGACAATCAGTTTTAAAACATCAAGCATAAGGTATCGGCATATAGGTACCGGTCTGTACCTATTACTTCTTTATTGAATTATATATTTAGAGAAATTTATTGAACTATATATTTAGAGAATTGATTTCCTTGTTTTTGTCGATACTGATTAGTCGTACGTAAATCAAGGTAGTTAGTAAAATAGTACGTACTGTACGATTGTACAAATATGTACGGACGTACTACGTAGGTTTGTAAAAATCAATTTTTATAAGGCCATTATCCATTTGGCACAAGGATGTGATGAATCATCGGGCGTGGCTAACTATTTAACTAATGCTTGCTTGCCATACTGATGATTTATCACATCCTCATGCCAAATGAAAGAGGAGACCTAATCCTTTATAAGTAAGTAAAACCTTTTTTTAATGTTTAGTATTATGACAAATACAAGCATTGTTCTTTTTTTCGTGTGTGGTTATATGAATATTAGCTTTGTTTCGAAAGAATTTTTTTTTCTTTTACAAATCGTACGTACCATCATGATTTCCACATGTCCGTACGTGCGTACATCATTAGTACCTGGTACCGATACCGGTACTGGTACCGGTACGTGCGTACGTATGTATACGTACGTAAATAATTATCATTATACAAAAAGAAAGGAAATGCTTTACTAACACTAGCTAGTTTTATGAATCGACAAGTCGATCAAGAAGATTTATTAATTTTTTTTTTAAACTACAAATATTGGGGGAAAAAACAAAGGTTTCAATATACGTATACCTTATTTATATTAGGTATTTTGATGATTATCTAGTGATACGTACGTACATATTTTCATGATCCTAACATATTATTCTAATAATTCTAATAATTCTAACGTATGATAAAAAGAAAAATTTTTATAAAAAGATTTTATAACAAAAAATAAAATAAATCTCATACACTTTTGTGGTTATAAATATGTTGTAAACCAGTACAAAAGAGTGATTTGTTAATTTAGGTATATTATAGGGTTTTGGTTTTTTTTTAGATTAGAAAGAGAAGGATAAAATAAAAAAGTCTATAGAAGATTATTTATAAAGTATTTACAAAATAAGTGTATTTTGCGAACTTCTAAAATGTGTTACGCTTGCTTGCTTAGAGATACGTATGGTGAATTTTCTTTATAGTAAATAATCGTAATTTAACATCTATTATAATTTTTATATTTTTTATGTTGTTTCTTTATGTTTTTATGTTTGTGTGTGTGTGTTTGTGTGTTTGTATGTTTGTTAATTTTAACTAATTTAACCAACGTTAACAACTAATGTTAATGTTAACAACTAATTTTAACAACTAATGTTAATGTTAACAACCAATGTTAACTAATATTAATTATATACTTTTTTAAATCCATTTAACTTGTTGAAAGAATTCCCAAAGTTTGCTAGCTTTATTTACATCAATTCTCAGTAATTTTTGAGCATCACTTTTTCGAAAAGGAAGAGATTTTTGAACATAACGTTGAGCAGCAGAGACCAAAGTATGTTTTGCTGTTAAATATTGTACTGGAGTAAGACGTAAAGTAGATGCTACTTCTACTTCTTTATTATGTAAAGAATTGAAATGTGGTAAATGTGAAATCGTAAGTGGTTGACCTTTCCAACTAATTTTTGGTGTAACATTATTTAATATATTATTATCTAATCTCATTTCATTAATATTTTCTATTAATTGTTCCCATTCCATTGGTGGTGGTGGTGGAAGTCTAATCGTTTTTATTTCTCCTGATGTAATCGTATTAAATGATGTATCCAAAAGTCCTCTATCTGCCATAACTCTTGCAAGACTATTACTCTTTCTTTTTCTTTCTACTGATGTTACATTATATCGTTTAGTTTTTGTTTGTTTTTTACCTTGATTATGTTGTTGTTGTTGTTTCTTATCCATATTTTGTTGTGTCGGTCTAGGACTTGATGGTGGTGTTGATTCAGGTGATGATGTAATAGATGTTAATGAAGGTGTACTACATTCTGATTGATATGGATTATTTATATGTAAAAGTGCCATAGGATCCTCTTTAAATGGTGTAAATACATCAAGTTTGAATGTAATTCCTGGTGATGATTTTGTTGGTGATTTTATTGGATATGGATTTTTTCGAATTTTATGATTTGAATGATTTTTTTTATGGATCTTGGTCATGTGATTATCATCGGTCATGTGCCCATTTTGTGCCATAATAGAATTAATTGGCTTGTTTTTTACAATATTTGTAATATTTGTAGCATTCGTAGTATTTGTAATATTTGTAGCATTCGTAGTATTTGCAGTATTTGCAGAACTTGCAATATTTGCAGAACTTGCAATATTTGCAGCAGTATTTACAATATTTGCAGAACTTGCAATATTTGCAGAATTTGCAGAATTCGCAATATTTGCAGAATTCGTAATATTCGTAGATTTTTGGATTTCTGATCGTTTTATTAATTCTAAAAGTTCTGGTGGTGCCTCACATATAAACATTCGAAATCTACTCTTGGGTTTAATTGCTTTCTCAACTAGTTCTTTAGATTGTGTTGTAGTTTCTTCATTTAGTAACGTGTTAATTGCACGTGAAAGTGGTGGTTTCTCTAAAGTCTTAATATCTGCACTCTTTTTTGGTGAAGGCGGTGGAGACATCATTGATGACACAAAAGAACTATTATTCGTCATTCTATATTGCTGTATTGTAAACTTGAATATATATTTATATATTTTTATATTTATATATATATATATATATTTTTTTTTATATATATATATTTTTTTTAAGTTAAACGAAAAAAAATGTAAAAAGATCAATCTTATTTTTTTAAAATATTTCTCGGACAGTTTATAAAAATTATAACCCTGTTTTTCTAGAATTAGAAATGTGAATTGATTCTCGTAAGAAAAATTTTTTTAAAAGATAAGAAAATAATAAAAGATTCTTTTGAGAAAGAAAAATTATTAAGAGAATTCTTTAGAGAGAAAAACAGTTAAAAACAAAAAAAAAACATTGAAAAGAAATTGGATGGTATCTTTATATAAAAACTTTTTTTTTGATTGTCGGACTGAAAGACCCTATAAAACGATTGAATGATTAATAAAGCAGCGGCTAATAAGCTAAATAAAGTACTGCGATTATATCTAGTCAATTGTTTTACAATATCAATTTGCCGCATATATATATAATAAAAGGTAAGATTTTTTTTTGAATATAATAAACGTATCAGGAATTTATTTACTGTAACTATCTATAATAAATCATATAAAATAAAATAAAATTATAAAAATAAAATTTGACCAATCAATCAACTTTCTTTTTTTTTTTATATAACAAGGTCGGATAATAACCAATGCATCAGCAATTAAATTACCAGGAATCGTTACAAATCGTGTTTGAATAACTTGGTACCATGAATTTTTTCGTTATTTTTTCGTTAACGTGGAAAAATCATTTATTCGTGAGAGTATGTTCATTCTAAATATTGAATGCATTTATTAATGATTGTACTCTCTACATACTCTCTACGTACTACGTACTACATACTATATTAATATTACTATATCGATATGTAAAAAAAAAATTCTATTAATAATTTTTTGTTATCACTGTAATGTTATCACGGTCATGTTATCACTGTTCTACGCATAATGTTATGTATAACATTATAAGATTATCGTTATAATATTATCATTATAAATGTTATCGTGATAATATTATCGTTTATAAATGTTATCGTGATAATTTAATAATAGTCAATGATATATCGTTGATATATCAATGATACGTATATCAATGATATATCAAGTATCAATGATATGTCAATGATATATATAAATGATATATATTAATGATATATATTACGTAGAATATTCTTGAACTTTGGTTGTAAGACAAAGCTCAAATTTGCGCCAAATTACTTGTTTCGAAGTTGCTTCTTTGTTTATGTTTAATAATAACAATGATAATAATAGTTATTTACCTATCCTATGATATACCTAAGAATTTTAATCTGCAAATTTATTTGTTGCAGAGTTACGCTTTATTCGACGTCATTTGTTATCCAACTTTTTGACACCTATAAAATAAAGGTCATGCGCTATCTTTGATAACTCTTTATAACTCTTTGGTAATTTAAGATCATTATTATCCTACGAATGACTTTACATTATCTATCAATATATATATGTTAGATCTTATTTCGTGCATATCATTATTAATTTATTTGGCATATAATCTGATGCATAAAAAAATTAAATTACTACAAACAGTAATTAATGGTTTTAACATATAGCATTAAGACACGAGTTATCTATTTTTTATTTTCCTTTTTTTTAAAAAAAAAGAATTTACCATATATATCAAATTATATTACTATAGTATTACTACTTTATATATACTATTATGTTATGTATTACTACTTTATATATACTATTATGTTATGTATTACAGTATTACCAGATATATATATTATAGATATATTACTATATTTATAACTATATCTATTACTATATCTATTACTATATCTATATCTATTACTATATCTATACTATGTCTATTATATAATATCTATTATATAATATATCTATTATATACTATATATTACTATATCTATTACTACGTATATCTCTATTACAACTCCAATATCGATATTGATTTTGTTATTGATATTATTGATACGTATCAGTACACAAATTCAATTTCTCAATTATTTGTCATAAATTTATTTAGAGTTTAAAAATCATATTGAACGCCAACAAATGGAGCCAGAAACAATCGAACTACAGTATTGATGTTACTCCAAATCATCGATTATGGTAATTAACCACTTAGATATGTACTCTGATTTAGTGCGTTATGTAAGGTATCTAGGCGCGAGTAATAGAATACTACTTTTTAATATTTTAATATCCAAAAAATGTATCAACACCTACGCAGGGGTTTATTTATTGTCTTTATTGATGGAAATACGGAACACGGAGTCTTGCAGATTGTCTTAATTTATTTACCTTTTTCTGTTTTTCTTTTTAAAGATTTTTTTTTTTCTGACACGTTTACAATCTATTCTTCATTTGTTCATTTACATTATTAATCATCAAAAAAAATTTTTTTTTTTTTGATGTCTTTTCTACTAGCTTCTAACTATGATTGGTAAAATTATTCTATGTATACTTTTTTCTTCTTACTAATCTTTTAATTTCATACAGTACAACGCGACTTACAAAGATTGTTGTAAGTAGGAATGAATTTGGAGTTTCTTGGGATTTTTTAGGGTTAGTGTGTATTCTAAAATTGTAATTTTATTAAACGTTAACATATCAGATATCTATGTTTTATAATTAGCATTAGTAATAATTATAATTATAATTATATGCTATTAACCAGATTTATTTATTAAAGACGTGATTTTACCAAACAAAGAAATTATTAAGGAATATGATTTTCTTTTATAATTCTCCTTATCACCTTTGACTTAGATTGATGTCTTGAACAATAAATTTAAATAATTTGTTTTATATATGTACTGGCATCTATAATGTAAACTTTGGATTTTTTGATTGACGGCGTTTATTGACGGCATTTATTAATAGTGTTTATTGACAGTGTTTATTGATAGTGTTTATTGACAGTGTTTATTGGTGATGTTTATTGGTGGTGTTTATTGATGCTGCTTATTGATGGCGTGGTAATCTCTTAAAATTTTATAAATATATTTGCCAAGCTTGCGATTACTGCGTATATTGACTTTTTTACGTACTATAGTGCTATATTGATATGTATGTAAGTATGTACATGCAGTTCATATTATCACGTGGTACCCATAAGATTGAACGAATATTGAAGGCATTCACAAAGGTTTACGTATAAAGTTTATAAAAAAGTTTATAAAGTTTATAAAGTTTATAAAAAATTTATAAAGTTTATACGTACAATATCAATATAAATATATATATATATCATATACATATACATATATATATATATACATATACACATATACATATCTTTCATAGTACAATGCAAAATAATACGCACTGCGAAAATCGGTAAATCATTTTGTAACATATCGAAAATCCGAATGGAGAAACATAAAATTACATACCACTCGAATTTCACGGATTCCACGAATTCCATTGAATTTTATTTTTAGATTCAAACTAAGATGGATTCGTTGAAACGTTGTGATATAACAATGAATTACATGTCTTGTTCGTTCGTATTTTATAAAAAAAATCATCTTTTTTATCCAATTTGTCAGTCTTTCAAACTTTGTTCAAATTTGTCTTGGTAATGTTTATAGACTAATCTTATATAGTGTCAGATTTATGCTTTTATGTACCACTAATTTTATTTTATTTTGAACTAATTTTTTTTATGATAATAAAAAGCACTTACATATACTTACATCTATCCGTTTTCTAAAAACATTCATGCGATGAATGAATTCTAGTTAAAACTATCCAATGGAGTTAATGCTTGTTTCAAACATTTATATTCTTTATAATGATATTCTTTATACTAGTGATACTACATACACTTTGTGTAATTTCATTAGTCCTTTTTATTAACACTTTCAGAAATTATGAATAATAATTCTGAACGAGTTCAAATATATAATTCATATATAATTCTTTTTTTTTACGTACATACTTTATTATCTACTTTTAGTATATACTTTAGTACATATTTTAGTACGTATCTTGCTATAAATCAAATGTTTCATCATTATATTGATAAAAATCCAAGGGTATCTTTCTTATCATTCTAAATTGAATCAATTGAATCAATTGAATCAATTGAATCAATTGAATCGTTACTTAGGCAATTACATACGGACGTACGTACCATATTTCACCACATAGCAGATAGAGTACCCTTTCATTAACAATACCCCTTAATTTATATTGGATATGTTATAAGGTTTATTACTTATTATTACTTATATATTTGTAAAAAGACCGGGTACACTAAACAAAATTTTATAAACGCGACATATAAACAGCATATAAACAAATTTGATTCTATAATGTGTATATGACCCTTATACAAAACTTATTACATAGTATACTTTCGTCATACTGTATACTCGGGGGGTATTAAATAAAAACAAATCCTGTTATTAAATAAAAACAAATCCTGTATAGATTTATAAGATACCCCGGGTACTCTCCATGAAGAAATAATGGTGCGCACGTACACACGTATGTAGTATGTAGCTAAGAAATTGAGTAAACATCAATACTGCACATATTGTATATCGATATGAAATTTGGTAAAACATCAATACTGTACATCGATATCAATACTGCAATCGATATGAAATTTGGTACACGCAGATAATCCAGACCCCCATCTTAAAATTAGTAATTAAATAATAAATTCATCAAAATTATTAAAATTTTGAAATATTATTGTGAGACTGTACCAATAGGAATTAGGTAGAATTATACGTATGTAAAAGAATTGATGTAAAATATAAATAATTAATAAAATATTCATCGTCATCCAGGGATCTTTTATGTTTATAACTTTATAGTTTCGGTCCGAATTATGTTATTCATATGTCAGTGTTATTTTAATTTGACAAAATTAAACTGCAAAATTAAACTGCTAATATGGTAAAAAAAATTAGATTTTTTTTTTTTTTTAACTAGAATAAAAGCTGCATTCGAAATGTGATGTTTCT